GTTTTTCGTGCACATGCACGGTCCGATAACGGAGCGCGTGCGTTCTATCTCTTTCTCTTTCCCTCTCTTCCTTTTTTTCTTTCTCTTTCTCTCATTTGCTAGTTACCCAGCTATAACTCGCTCTCTTCGCGCCACGCCACGAGGAAAGATACGGAGGACGCGCGCTCCTCCGCGTGCGTGTTAACCCTCCTCTTCGTCGGACGGACGTGCTCGAATAGAGGCTCTCTTTGTCTCGGCAATAGTGTAATATGCTTGGCTACGACTACTCTCCACGTAATATGTAAGAATCTATTCGGGAACTCTTCCTCGGGTCTCTCTATCTCTCTCTGTCTATCTCTTTTCATTTTCATCTCCATCTGATAGATTCAATTTCATGTTAAATTTGATAAGAGAAAGAAAGAAAGAAAGAAAGAAAAGATTTATATTTATTTTTATATATTTTATGTAATTTTTAATAATGTATATTTTTATTATACATTTTTTCTGTCATATATTTTTTGGCATTTTTATTTTTTATACCTTCTCTCTCTCTCTCTCTCTCTCTCTCCTATTCGTCTATATCTATTTTTCATTTTTTTGTTTATCACATCTTTTTGCTTTCTTTCTAGTAGAATATTTACTGTTAGTACGTCGAAAATCTATAAAAACGATTTTAAATCCTTCCTTATGTTAAATTCTTCTAACAGTTCTTAGCGATACGATGGAAGGAACTAGTAGCAATAAACATTTATGTTCTCTCATTCTTTCTTCTTTTTCTATCTTCGTTTCTCCTTCCATTTCCGCTTGCCTCCCTCTATCTTCTGTTCCTCTTGTCTATGGTTTCTCTGCGACTTCCTCTCAGCACCTCTTTTACTTGTTTTCTTTCTCTTACTTCTTCAACTTTTTATTATTTTTTTTTTTTTATCCCTATCCAAAATTTCATTCACAATTTATCACCATTAAACAATTTCTGTTTATATTAATATAATTTCATATTATTTTCTACGAACCGTTGATTCATAATTTGAGATATTTCTTACTCTCTTTCTCTCTTTTATTATTATTATTATTATTATTATTATTATTATTATTATTATTATTATTATTATTATTATTATTATTATTATTATTATTATTATTATTATTATTTCTCATTCGACTTCCGTCCTTCTTCCATCATCTCTTTACTCATCTATCAATCTTTTCTAACTTACTCTTAGTATTTCATCCATTTTTCTCTATCTTTCTCTTTCTTTTTTTGTTATCTTCCGTATTAATCTAATTTTATACTCTTTTCTGTGAGTTTGAATTATGAAAATAAATTTTCTCTCTCTCTCTCTCTCTCTCTCTCTCTCTCTCTCTCTTTTTCACTCTCACAGTCTCTCTCTCTCTCTCTCTCACTCTTTCTTTCTCCTTCTCTATCTCTCTTTTTCTATCTTTATTTCTTTTTCCACGACCGTTCGCGTCTCCCTTCGTCTTCTTTTTCTCTCATCCACCATTCCTCTACGACTTCCTCTCTCTTCCCTTTCCCTCTTTCTCCCTCTCCCTCTCTCACCCTTTCCCTCTCTCTCTCTCTCTCTTTCTCTTCCTCTCCCTCCCACCCTCCCACCTCCCTCCCTCCCTCTCTCTCTCTCTCTCTCTCTCTCTCTCTCTTCCTTTCTTCTCGTTTTCCGTCTGTTAGAACTCGTGGCTGATCCCATCGTCGTCTTTTTCTCCCGCGCACGCTATCGCGAGGTTCTTCGTTCGCTCGCAAACCGCAAGACGAAATGTTTCGTTTCTTCCTTTCTTCCTTTTTCCTCTCTCTTCTTCTTCTTCTTTTTCTTTTTCTTTTTCTTTTTCTTCTACTACTCTCGACTAAGTTACACCGTTCGTTCTCACATCCTTTTCTCCTCCTTCTCTTTCTTCTCTCTCCCTCTCTCTCTCTCTCTCTGTCTCTGTCTCTGTCTCTGTCTCTGTCTCTGTCTCTGTCTCTGTCTCTGTCTCTCTTTCTATCGCGCATGCTTTCTTTCAAAAACATGAGCTCGCAACGACGGCGTAACTCGATCGCGTTTTAGTATACTTATGTATATGCGCAGAAACGACTTAAAAGAGATCATTTTCATCAAAGTGAACAAAATTCTTCATAAACGCTTCCGCAGATCTGTTACCCATCCTTTCATAAATAAGAACTAATAAATATATGTTAATAGTTTTATGTTTTCGTTAATGAGATATCATTAATATATGGATATTTTTATTTCTATGTAGAAATGTACGATATAAATTCATTTTAAGTCGACGTACCTTTGATGAATACGAATCTGCTGTAAAACATAATAAATCGATATTGTATAATAATAATATATGCAAGTAATTAAGAAAATGAATTAAATTTAAATCTTACATTTGAATAAATGAAATTTGTTTTGTAATTCTTTATTTCGTTGTATCGTTACAAAAACAAAAAGATAATTTACACATGTCGCTTTAATAATAATCCATTCATATACAATTCTAATTTCATAATTGTTTCCTGTAATCA